TTTATTCTTTAGCTATACTCTCCCATACATGAAATAACATATACACATTGTTTATAATAACAAAAGGCTAGTAATGACCTAAATGGCCATGAACAGAACACTAGTTAAATAAATCATGGTATAGGAACATTGGAATATGTAGTTGTATAAAGGACGAGGATGACTTTTATACTGATATGGAAAGCTCTCGCAGATAAATTGTTGGAAAAAAAATCAGATACTGAAAAGTGTGAAAAGTATGCTACCATTTGTGTAAAAGGGGAGATAAAAACATTTCTTAGTATTCACTTGCATATGCTAGAAGAACACAGAAGAAACTAATAATAGGTATTAGCTGCACTCATGATAGTAGAGTTTGGGGACTGGATAGGTAGGGGACAGCATGAAAGATTTTCATCTTAAATGTTGAAATGAAAAGATAAAATACTCTTATCTGGTAGCCTTAGAAACAGGTCGGACTGTCACTGGTATGCAGGAAAGCAGCATTGGGTAGCAGTCTGCAGCTCTGAAGTTAGCAACCTGAATGAAAGACCTGACACACAGATTCCTCCCAACCCTATGACCTGGTTGGAGCAAATTGCTCGCCCTAAGCTTCATCTTCCTTTATGTAGAAAACGGGATTAACAATAGTACCCGTTCATCAATTTGCTGTGAGGCTTCAGTGGCATAATCTAGGTAAAGCATTCACATCCTGCCTACCACATTGTGCATAGGAACATGAGTATATACCTGTCTCTAACCTCTCTACAAGGCCCTTGGGTTGGGAAGTATGAGCTCTCAGAGGAACAGCCAATGCCAAAAAAGAGTTATTTCTCCCTATTAAATTTTCCTATTAAATTCTTACATGACACTGTTTGATGGTTTTCAGGCCAAGGTCAGATGTTCTACCATTCATAGTACAAAGGTTCAACAATTGGAAATCATCAGAAATGGGGAGGGGAGGATCCATGCATAGATTATAGTTCCAGTTTAGCAAAGAACAGGCTCTGCTCAGAGAAGGAGGAGGAGGCAGCACACTTTCCTGCCAATATCCAACCCTTTAACAATGCCCGTCTGGCAAGCCCGAGTGCTCCAGGAAAGGCCACGAATAAAATCCTTGCAAAGGTCTGTGCGGAGCAGGGAGAGAAGAAACGCTGTCAGCTCTTTTCTCTTTGCTGGAAGGGAAGGCCGAACAACTGCACATCGGGAGAGAAGGCAAACAAATTGCCCATTCATGCCAAAATAAGCTGCTCCTGGAGGAAGCAAAACAGCTGGAGCCGATTCAACCGACACAGGGAGGTGAGGGGCCTGAAGACAGCTGGGTGTGGGGAGCCTGCCCCTGGGAGCAGGGAGCTTCTGTGCAGGGGAGGGCCAGATGCCCTCAAGCTCACCTCTGCGGCCCTCAGTCTACGGCCACTAACAGGAGTCGGCCAGCAAGTTCTGTCAGATGCTGGGGGAAATCCCGGGTGGAAAGGAAGAGAGGAAGGAGGGATGCGAACTAGTCAACAGCCAAGAGAGCAGGGACCTGCCGAGCATCCGCAATGCTGTACCCATGCCAATAAGAACCCCTTCTTATCAGATGGGTATCACGGTGCTGATTTTACAGAGAAGGAGCCAGGCTCAGTGAGGCAGGTAGACTGCACAAGGCACACAGGGAGAAAGGGCCAAGCCAGCTGTGGCCAATGGCCTCAGCTCTCCTTTCTGACTGTCACCCGAGTATCTCTATGGCCTTTGTCTAAAGCAGGAACTCCCATCACCTCACCATCCTGCCCAGCCTCGGGGCACCTGGTGGCAAATACAAAACACACTCAGAGAAATGTAATGGGGGAAACTAAGGAAAGAACTAACCCAAATCTCAAGAGAGGGGAAATGAAGCCCAGAAGCAAATGAAATAGCCGGCAGAATTTCCATCCCCAGAAGAAACCGAAATGCAGCTGCTGTGGGCTCATTTCAGGCTGGAAGATGTGGGACCTGAGTCCCTGCCAGGGGTAAGGACAGCAGAATCTTGACCTGGAGTAAACTGGGTCCAGTGCTGTCTCTAGGGCTGCGGGATGTCCAGGTCCCCCAGATGAAAGCCCAGGCTCCAGCTGACAAATGCATTCTGCAGGGACGCTGAGACCTTGCCTCAACCCTGATTCCAGGGTGGGGAAGACACTTCCCTCTCCAGCTCCTGAGATTCCCACCCTGAGCCCCAGCACTTCTTACAAGGACTTCCTTCCTTGAGGACTCAATATTTAATGATAACAATAATGATAGCAGCCTTCACTTTTGTGCTAGGCACTGTTCTTAGCACCTTTTATAACAACCCTTTGAAGTCAATAATATGATATCCCAGATGAGGTGATCCAGACACAGAGAAGTTAAGCCACTTACACAAGGTTACACAGCTGCTAAGAAGAGAGGCAGAATTTGGATCCAGGCAGTCTGACCCCAGTGCCTGAGTTCTTACCACTAGCCATACTGCCTCAGGCCACAGGGCAGGATAGAGTGGAAGGAAGGGTCTTGGAAGTCAGGAAGACAGTGCTATCGTTTCCTGCTACTTATCCCTGGGTGACCTGTTTAACCCATTTAACTTCTGAGTCTGTTTTCTTCTCTAAAAAGCAGCTACAACAAATATACTTTGTGGAGTCGTGTCTATGACCTGAGACAGAGTAGGCTAGGCTGTCAGTCATGTCTTTTCACCCTTCTCTAAGTGACCTCCTTTTCAGTTTGATTTGCCTGTCACAGATTCATTAGACATTAAGGTTGCCTCTACCCTTGAGCAAAGTTCAGCTTCTTTATATTTTGTTCTAGCCTCTTCTATGACTATTTTGTGCCTATCACAGGTGGGACACAGCACCAGGGACTACAGGGCTAGAGGTTCAAGAAAACCCGTCTTCAGTGGGCAACGGCAGTAGGATTGAGGCTGTGGGAAACATGGCTTTAAGCCGGTAGGAACGCAGTAGGAACGCTCCTTTTCCTCCAACTTGTCTTCCTCTTGCTGGCCTCCTGCCAGGGCCAACAGGCATCTTCTTGTCGCTTCCTGTTGCAAAGCTTACACCCTGCAGGGCAGCCACTGAGAGCCTCATTCCTTCAATGATGGGAGCCTCTAACTCCCAGCTAGCAGGTGGGCTGCCAGAACCCTGTGACTGGGCCCAGCTCTCAGGACTCTGGAACCATTCCTTCAGCAGACTGTGAGCCAGGCCCCACAACTGCCCTCAGGGAGATCACCAACATGCTCGCCTTCCCAGTGCCTCTGAAGGGATCCTCACAGGTAACGCTAAACATGCCTTTCCAGAATGTCATCCTTTTTCCCTCCCAAAAAAGAAACATTTCACTAGAAGAGTTACACTAACAAGGGATTCTCCCCTCCCTGCACCTGACCAAGATAAAAGAGAAACAAAAGGAATATAAATATACCAGGAATTTCACATACAACAATCCTGTAAGGTGGAATTGTTCCCCCCCATTCCGTAGGTGAGAGAAGAAATGGAAGTATGCACAGAGATGGCGCTGGCTGGAACCAAGGCTGCCTGCTGCAGAGTCCAGGCTCTTTCTACTGCCCCAGGCTGCCTGTGTCAGCTCAGCTTGTCACGCCGCTAGCTCTGCCCCCTCCTTCCTCTGGACTTTGTGCTTTCACAAATGTAGACACCCAGCAATCTCCTTGTTTGTGCTGGTCCCAGAGGAAGCCAACTTCTCCCAGTCCAGTGACAGCAGCAGTAGCAGCAATCCAGGCACCGCCTTTGACTCCCGGACTCGCTTGTCTTAATTACACCAGGCTGAAGCAGTTCCGGTATAAAGTATCTGGGACTGCTGCAAAGCACGCAAGTTCATTGTTACATTTTCTAGCTCCTTCTCTGACTCCAGCCCCTTTTCCTCCCCACCCCCGCTGCTGGCTGGCAGTGTCCTCCCTCCTCTGCTGTCCCTGGTTCTGCCTCTTTGCACATCATGTTTGGACCTGCAAAGTAGTGCTTCACACTCCTGCCACCCCAGGCAGCTGAGCCTGGCTCGCTCAATTCAGAAAACTGTATGTGAGTCTCTGCTAACTGCCCCGGGTGCTGTGAAGAGGGAGGAAGCAAGAGGAAACACAGGGGTCTTGCCTGTCACAAAGTCCAAGTCAGAGGCTAGGAGAGAGGCATGGACAGAAACATAAATCACTGACACAGGTCAGGCAGTGGCGGGCAATAATAAGGGTCCTAAAATATCAGAGCTGGAGGAAAACTTGGCTTTCTGTTTTAACTCTGCCATTTTAAAGGCTGGTCAACTAAAGCCCAGAGGTGGGAAATTACTTGAATTAACAATGTTGGGAAATAAAAATGAATTAACTAGAGCCTCCCCATTTTAAAGATGAGGAAAATAAGGCAAAGGGGGTTAAATACCTTGTCCAAGTTCACACTTCTAGTAAGTAGAAGTCTGTTTTGAACTCAGGTGGCCCTACACTGTAGTCTCTTTAAGGTACTGTGAGCTGGAGACTAAGTCTATCTGTGAAGTCAAGAGAAGGCTTCTTGAATGATTACTCATAGATCTAATTAGGAAAACCCTGAACTTTGACTATCCAGAGCCAACTAAAAGGGCGCCTACTCCAGAAGTTGGCCAACTGGGAGTTTCTGAGTGCTACTAAAAACAAAGCAGTGAAGGCAGGGAGCAGAGCCCTAGAAAGAGCCAAATCAGTAGGAAAGAACTTAGGATAAGGCAATGATTCCAAGAACCAGAAACAGTCCAATTCACTCCCCACCTTTTTTTAATGTCTGGCTTTCTACACATGATGCCCCCAGCCCATGAGTTCTTTAACATCTTCATATGCCAATTCCTGAGGCAGAGAGGCCAGCTCAGCCATCTTAAAAAGATGCTCAATGACATGGATTGAAATATTCAGAAGACAGGTGTCTAGTAAATGCTTGTCAACCCAAGACTTCCATTTCCCCAAATCTCGCCCAACACACACACTCACATGCACCCTGGCTTTTGGTTAACCAAGAATCTTCTCCAATTGCCACATGACTTTCAAAATAAACACAGTTATCAGTACACAAATTACTTACCAATTACTGCCAAATTATGCTCTGAGCCACAAGAGACCTGTAAAGAAAGAAAATAAGTTATAATACACAAAGAATGTGTACAGATATTACAGCCAGTATATTTTTTAAAAAATCATAGTTATTTTCTAATGACACTGACACCCATTTTTGGCAAATTTTAGGAAGGAAGTATAAAAGAGCATCATATACAAAGGTTAAGACTATAACTACAACACATTCACAGCTACATAAAAAGGGAAACAGAAGACTGCACTGAGTGGAAATATATCAAGATATTAAAGAATTTGTATTCTTCAGCCAGTGAGACCATGAGCAATTTTTTAATCCTTTCTTCTTTTTGCTTTTTGTGCTTTTCAAACTTTCTATAGTGAGCATATGTTACTTTAAAAATGGAAAGATAAGGCAATAAAGATAACAGTTTTTAAAAACTGAACTAAAAAGACCATCCCTTTCATCTGGACTGATAAAATGAGCAAAGAGGCTGGGTTCGGTGGCTCAGCCTGTAATCCCAGCACTTTGGGAGACTGAGGCGAGTGGACTGCCTGAGCCTGTGGGTTCGAGACCAGCCCTGGCAAATTGGCAAGACCTCGTCTCTACAGTAAGTCAAAAAAATAGCCGGGTGTGGTAGTGCGCACCTGTAGTTCTGGCTACCTGGAAGGTTGAGGTGGAAGGATTGCCAGAACCCAGCAGGTCGTCGCGGGGGTGGCTATGAGCATGCCACTGCACTCCAGCCTGGGCGATGGAGTGAGACTCCGACTCAAAATACCCTTATACCTCCAAGCCTTTGCATGTGCTTGTTCCTCTACCCAGAATGCTTTCTCCTCTACTGGCTACCTAAAAAATTCCTACTCATCCTCTAAAATCTCAAAGCATCTACTGAAACCCCTTTGCTGCTGCTTCCAGGCAGACTCAGCACTCCTGTCATAATGTCCACATATGCCCCCATGGAGGCAACCACCCTGTTGCCTTTTATCATCTTTCCTGTCTCCTCACTAGACTGCGTGCATCTTGAGAACAGGGCTGAGTCTCATTCATCTCTGTATTGCACAGGTGGATTGTACAAGGCCTGGGACTCACTTAACATCTGCTACATGAGACATAAAAGAGCAAATACCTAAGACATAAAAGACAATCGATAGCAGTTCTGAATCCAGGGTTTCAAACTAACGAGAGACCCTTTTTGCCTTTCTGTCTCCACAGGCCTCAACAGAGACCAGGAGGAAGTGACTGGGGATATAAAAGCATAAATGGTTCCCCAGGACTAATTAAGAGAGCTCTAGACAGTGGAGAATTATCCTGTGACCTTTATCCAGATGCTCACTTTAGCGCCTGGCAAGAGGAAGGTTGCAGGTACTCTGGAATGCAGGAAGGGCCTGGGAGAACACCTACATAGCTGAAGTGTGGAAAAGGGAAGGGGAAATAACTGACTTCAAGTCCTAAGGCAAGTCTGTGTCTAAACTAAGACTAGAGCCACCATTCTCCTCTCTACTGCTATGAGATCACTCTTTGGATCTGCAAGAGTGATTCCTTGACATCCTGCAGTATTTGTCTCTCTGTGCCTGGCTAATTTTACTTAACTTAATGTCCTCAAAGTTCATCCATGTTGACATAAGTGACTATACTTAACACTGTATTATATTCTTGAAAAATGCTAAGAGAGTAGATTTTGTTTTCTCACCACAAAAATGGTAACTATGTAAAGTAATGAATGTTCACTAACTTTACTTAGCCATTCCACAATGCATATATATTTCAAAACAACACAATGTACCCAATAGAGACATACAATTTTATTTGTCAATTAAAAAAATAAAATAAGACTGGAGTCACTTTTATTCTTCTAATTCTCACACAAGTTCCTTTCTTGATGCTGCTCACTCCTTCCCAGTGAAAACCACTTGAAAATCATATTCAAAGGTGCTTAGCTCAGGCCCCGATGGCTGTGGTAGCTCAAAAGGCATGTGAACGTTGGATTTCAACTAGCACACAGGTAGGCAAGAAGGGTAGCAAGACTTCCTAGGTGTTTTTCTGTGAGAAGTTGTGTTTGCCAGATCCCAGATTCCACAGAGAATGGCCACCTACGCATATGTGGACTTCCTGCTGGTGTCTGGCAAAGAAGCACCTGTATGTTTTACCCCTAGGCAATACTTCCAGGTGTCTCGTCTCTGAGCTTCTTTAAGGGCTGCCCCTGTCTCTGATTTACCTGAGGGCTTCCACTTCGCCTCACTCAGGGCCACAGACACAGCCCAAGTTCATTCTATGCCTCCTGACTGTCACAAGGTTGGTCCTCTAGGTCTGTTACAGGAAGTTGCTTAGATTGAAGAATTGGGAAAAACTTAGATGACTAACAATAGTGGAATGCCATGTAAATTATGGTAAGAGTCACCTGATAGACTATTATACAGCCTTGGAAAATGATGCTTACAATAATAGGAAAATACTCATGGTATCATAAAAAACCACATAAAAATTGTATACATAATATGATCTCAACTCTATAATAAAATATGAATGAGAATGACTGAAAGGAGAAACATCAAAATGGGCTGGGGATGACACTGGAATTACGGCATTCTTTTTCCTAAACTCTCTGAATCTTATAAACAGGCAAAAAATATATTAAAAGTAAGAAAAAATAAATATAATGAAGTTCCCATCACAGAGGAAAATAATCCTACCTGTATATAAGATATATATGCTGTAAAGTCTGGTATGTCTAAAAGAAGCGGGGGAAAAGGATTTGAAGAAAAGTTAACTAAATTATAACAGCAGCTGCATCATGGTGGTAGAATTATAAGGCATTTTTTTCTACCATTCCCTATTTTCCAAATATTATGTAACTATGGCAGTAGCAGTAGTCATGGTGGTGACTGTGATAACCACAGGAATTAAAGCGGCCATATACTGAGGATCGTATGTGCCAGGCATCATGCCAAGGCACTTCACAGGCATTATCATACTTTAATCATCACAATAAGTTTTTCAGGTAAGTCTGACTTCGCTCACTTAGACATACAGAGACTAAGGCTTATATATCTTAAAGAACCTTCTCAGCTAGTTAAGAGGCAGCAGCAGAACTAAAACCCAGGTCTGCCTGATCTCCAAGCTAGGACACTTGACTGCTACATTCTGTGACTTTTGTTTTTTTAAATAAAGTTATTTCATTTTATGAAATGCAGAAAGGGAGAAAGAGCCTGTCTCTGACTGCCAGGGTTCATCCTGGGGCTGTAGACAGCAGAGTTGACCAGCCTTGAGGACCAGGGACTTCCAGAAACAAGCCATTGACAAATGCCAGTATCAGGCAGCAGATGTTGCTCTGAATTAATGAGTGAGACAGTGATGAATGGATTTTGTCAAACCAATGTAGAGCTTGAAGCTCCCCACTGCTTCCTGCTGTCTATGCATTGGCATAGAGGTCAAAGGACTGAACACCACAGGCCACAAAATCCCAGTGCTACATTCCTTCAATGAAATTGTATCAATGACCATTTGCTCCATAGTGCCCCTGTCAGCATCTACCAACTGCCCAGCGGCAGAGAGCTTTCTAGGAGACCCTGTCAGCAATGGCAATATGCCCAGGAGAAAGAGATTCAGAGCCAGGAAGCCAGGTGAGTTCTCGGTCCTCCGCTTTCTAGTTTTGAGATCTGTGGCAAGGTATTTAACCTCTCAGGCCTCAGTGTTCTCAGTTGTAGAAAGTAGGTAACGGTCGGTGTCTGTCTTGCCTGCCTGACAGAATTGCTGAAGTACAAATGGGACAGTCCATCCCCTGACAGCCATATGTCCTGCCTGCCTCCATACAAATCTGATCACATCAGGCCCCTGTATAAAACCTTCCCAGGCTCCCAGCACTGGCAGGGCTACAGTACATTCTATGGCTTACAAGGCCCTTAAGAGCAGACCTCTGTTTACCTCTCTGGACTCATTTCCTGCTTCTGCTACTCATGAACCTTTAACCCCAAAGAATGTACTCCCTTTGCTCTATTCACAAATCACACTTGCCCTTGCTTGGAACATTATGCAGTTCCAGGCCTTTCTACGTGTTGCTCTCTTTGACTGGAATGCCTTTTCTCCCACTGTCCAAGGTAAGTCCTGTAAGATTGCTCAAACAACACCTCCTAGTAAAGCCTCCCTTGACTTCTCCAAGCAGAGTCAGCTGCTCCACCCTGGCTACTCCCACAGCACAATATATCATGGCCCGTATCAAGCATGTGACATCTATTCACAGATCGCACGTGCTAGGTACCTCTGTCTCTCAGACAGCTAGAACACTGCCTGCTCCGTGCTGTCTCTGCCACACCATCTGTTAAACCCAAATTTCAAAATCCGAGAGACCACCAAAGAGCCAGCTCTGATGCAAACACACAAGGGTCTTTATTCAGGCTCGAGTCTGGGCTCACG